ATGTCCCAGGGAGACAGCTTTGAAAATAAATTTCAGGACCCCCCTCTCAAAGCCACATTGTTACCAGAGGGTTACTCGGTGATAAAAAAGGTTTCTTTTCCCCCCGCCAGAAAATTGTTGAATGGATGGTTCTATATCTGCGGTAATGGCATGTTACATCTTCGTGCCAGATCCACAATACCGCGCTTGTTCAGTGTGGGAAGCTGTTTAAAAATGGCTTTCCTATTAGAGTATATAGCTTAGTCTCTAGATGGAAAAAGCCAGATCAAAGATATAGCATTTATAAAACTGCTGGTTAAAAAGATAAAAGTGAGATAACAGACATCAATTTTTCACTATAAATCTCTGGGTTTACTACAACATTAAAATTTCCAGTAAAAGCATGGTTTTATATACCTGAACTCTAATGGCCTATTCTGAAAATATTTATGTCAGGAAAAGCATGGTATTTGCATGCCAAAAGCAGTTTTAGTGCCAATGTTTAGCATTCCCTTCCCATTTAACTCCTTCCCATCTACTCACAAGCGCTCTGCCTAATGCCTACCCGGTGTGCCTCCTCCACGCTGCCTTTCAGAGGAGGACGCTCCAGGTGCACACTAAGGCAAAAAGCCCAACACTTGTAATAACATACCCCTGCGGAAAACACTGGTCTGACGGCCTACGAGCTATGGTCTGAACCACTGATTTTACCTCCGTGCTTTGCATGCGAAACTACTCATCCAAGGGGCTAACTGCCTAACCAGAGTGAAAGACGGGGCCAGAAGGACAGGAAATTGGGCAACACCGTGCAACAGCTCAGGAGTAACGGGTCAAAACTGCATAATTAGATGAGGTTTCTGGAGGTATGGGTAGTACTCCAGTAGTTTTATACTGAGATGAAAATCGGAGTATGGTTCTGCAAAAGCTGAGTGTCCCGCCTTCCACATACAGGCATTTTGATCCGGTGAGAAGGGAAGGCGTTCAGCACCTGCCTGGCTGTACACAGCCATCAGCAGGGCTGACGCTGCAGAAAGATATTGATTTTATCTATTTATTCTACTATAAAGTAAACTTACTTAGGTATAATAATGCAGACTAACAGCCTAACGCTGTAGCACACGGGACTCTCAGAGGTACCTAAGTTGATATTACTTCGGTTTTTGCAAACTATAATCTCCTAAATTTAAGAAAGCTTTAGCAACATAAGCTGATTTTCAGCAAAGTTTTGCTTTCTTCCCTACTTCATACTAGCATGTGCAGGCCACAGCTTTTCCGGAAAAGCCATTAACATAAATGTAACTTTTCAAATACAGCAAACAGAGAAGCACTACAAAGTCTCTACTTGCTTCATCTCTCGGGGCTCTTAGGTTTGGGGTTTTGTTTGTTTGTTTGTTTTTATGGAATAAAATTAGATTTCAGCATCTGTCACCATCAAGAAAAAAAACTCATCCCTGGCTCCCACATGAAAACATTGTAACCAATGCACAGTTACTGAACCATGATGCCTTAATGATCCTTACACAAATCAACTTTTTTTTGTTTGAAATAACAAAGTTAAGAATGTGCTTTCATAATTACTTGAATCAGACTGTCAGGTTATAAATTCAATAAAACCCCAACATGATTAAACTGTAAAAGTAATACATACCACACAAATTTATAGATGTGTGGATTCTTTTCAATTTGACTTATTCAGGTGTGCTGATTAAATGTTAGTAAACAATATTGTTAGTATTGCCATTCTGCCTCTAAAACCCAAAAACCTGGGAGCAGACAAAAAGCACTTGGTAAACCTTTCAGTCTTTTGTTTGCATATATTTTTCTAAAGCTCTTTTCAAGATAACCTAACAAAAAATGCATAGACCTACTAGGCAGACAACTTGCAATAAAAACCGTAAGATTTAAAATACGTTAGTTTTTTTGCCAATTGCAAATCTAAAACTTCCTAAAAATATGATATATTCAAACAATTTAAGTTGTACCTTCCTCAGCCTCCCAGTACAATCATTTGTAACTTTTACAGTATATATTTTTAATTTAATAGAATTTGAATTTATTCTCCAGATAATATATCAATCCTTAAAAACACAGAAATTTTAAAACTACACAGAATGCATGCATTCCTATACTGGAAAATAATTCAATATTTGTAGGAATCTTCTAGCTAAGTCCCCAGACTCATTCAAACCCACAGGCCGGATAGTCTTTTTTTTTTTGGGAAAGCCAACAAGCCACCAGCAAAGTGCACCATGAAACTGCAAGTACGCAAATCATCACTCACCTAGACCTGAGCAATCTCACTAATATCCCTGCAATCTCTTCCTGCTCCCGTCACCCCTTCCTTGCCCTGCGCTGTGACCCCTGCTGCACCGAGCCCCTGTAGCCAGCTGATTGTTGAGCATCAGGTCCACATGCAGCCCTCTGTCAATCAGGTAACTCTTGCCAAAGGCACTAACACAGCGTAAAGAAAGATGCTCATTTTTTACCTCGGCACTACCTAAATAGAAACTTCTGTACCGCATCATTTAATAGCTCTTCTGTGCAAAGTGTTCTAGTCAGCAGAACATTATCTGCAGTCTCCTGGCTCAGGCAAGCCCAGCCACCTTGCAGATGCTGCTCAGACACCCAATCTAATGTTGACCCAAATCAGTTCCTTAAAAAAAAAAAGGCCCTCCAGCAAACAACTATCTTTGTCTGGTGGTAGAGCTGGTTTAGGTCACAAACTGTTTTCAGCAGTAGCTCCCGACTACACTCAGAAGTCAATCAAGTTTTTATTTCCAAAATAAGATAAGAGAAGCAATGTTCAATTTTAGTGATTTTAAAGCCAAAACTATTAACCAACACATCATTTTCTAGTATTTGTCCTCCAGACTTTTCACTATAACTAGAAGTGATAATCCCTAGATTTCCAGTTCTGAACAGGAAACCAATATCCCCAAATTAAAAAGAAAACACAAGGAACCTCTCGCAAGAGAAGTTCTCTTAAAGAATGTGTTTGAACAACCCCTTTTTTGTGCAAGGGAGACTTCTTTGCCCCAAGAAATGTTACTCTGGACCGCTGACAAACTCCAATGCAGAATTGTTTACAATACAGATATCTCCTTTAATATACATGGCTTTGCTACATATTTAAAGCTTATTAATTGGCTGACTAGCAGTCAAGTGGTTAGAGAAGATCCAACACATCCAGTTTGCCTAAGAGGTTACTTCTGTGAAGCAGCTTTCTACTACAAATGGCACTGTGGCTAACTACAGACCTGACTACCCGTCCCTTTTAAAGTCAGCATTAGAAGAGCTGTCCCACCTAGAAATTTTAAGACTATGCACTTAAATAAACACATTATCACACAGATCAGATCAAAATTACATGGACCAATAGATTGGCTTCATACCTTAGTTTTGTGGAGAACTGCAATGGAAAGGGGAAAGTGTAGAAAATGGACAGTTCTCTAACCCCGAGTCTTGACATGTAAATAAAGACATCTGAGGAACACACAGGTTGGAAGCTGCTGTAACATTCTATCATAATTAGAAACATTTCAAGAGCCCTGTAATTTCCAATCAAAATTACAGTAATTTCCGATATACAAGCCATGATTCATGACAGAATTTTTACATTCCAAGGGAGATTATAGTGGCCTGATGTATGACACACTGAGTACAGCACTAACATAAACAATTCAGTTTAATGTTTAAACAGCACTTGGTGTTTAGAATCCCACAATAAAAGAAACATATTATTGTAGAAATTATCACTTTGACAGTGATTGAAGGGTAGGCAGGCATGTGGCCTATAAAGCTGTAATTTTTACAGTCCACAGCTTGAGTTTAATCATTTCATATAACATTTCCAAAATATCCCTTGAAATACTCCTTACAGCATATAACTTAAGAGACAACGTCCTTTCTGTACACTGAAATGGAGCAAACTCCAAAACGTGAACAACGCAGAAGTCAAAAGTTAAAGACTGAAAAATAAAACCAGCACTAAAATGCTGACGGCCCAAGAAACATTGGTCTAACTGATCATCACCAGCTTTCCCTAGAAGACGCTGCATGAAGACGCTATGAAGCCATGTAGAAAAGTAAAGGAATAGCAACTTAAGTGGACTTAAAATTAATCTAATATGAAAATTCAACAATGCAAGCATTGGTGCCTTTACCATTTCTTTCAAGCATTGGTATAACTGTGGTTCTAGTCCCTCCCATTTTTCTATGTTTCTCCTCTACTTATTCTTGAGTACATTGTCACTTAAATCAATGCTTTTGCGTACTCCGGTGACTGTTCTTAGAAGACACGTCAGTTATGATAATCACACCCAACAAGTTCTTGCCGATTTCCCTCTCTTGCCACTGAGCTTGACAGAAATTCTTCAGTTGAAGACAACAGTATAGGAACCACACAACAAAGGCTTAAAGCTGAATATGCAATATGTATGTATGCACACACTCAGGTAACCAAGTAGCCATTGTATTCCACAAAGATCATATGTGTTCTCAGATGTAACTTGTATAACCGTTACTTGTTGGTGGGAGATTGAGGTGGACAGTGCTGCCCCACCTCCTGTGCACAGCCTCACCAGTGGGTCTGACTAAATATTTTTGCAAAAAACAGAACCCCGGCGTTCTTTGTACGGCGCATGTAACTGCAAAACACCCGAGCCACGAGATGAATTCGGCAGCAATACATAGAGCTCACCCACAGCTACTGCCACATCCACGCCAGCTAAGAACTGATGAACCCAATGGTTTCTGAGCCGCTCAAGACCCACGGGCACCCAGCGAAGGCATCCCGCTGGTGGGCAAGAGGGAGAGATGCGTCTCAGGAAGTCGCTTTTCAACCCTGCCTGGTCAAGAGTGATCAGAGGGTGCCTTTGAACGCAGCAAGGAGCTCTGAGTTGTGGTTCGGGGCTGGTGGGCTAACCTGGACACTTGTTTTAACTCACACGGAAACAGATCAAAACCCAGGGGAGGAAATAATCACACAGGACAGGGAGGCCATACCGCCCTGGGAACCTTACCTGGCTTTTGGTTGCCGCAACCTTTGCAAACAGTGCTTGAGACACCTTAGCTCTCTTCATTACCTGCTGAATCTCATCGTAAATGGAAGCATTAATGTTCATGGAATTATTTTCTGTTTTTCCATTCCTCTCTGTAGCAATAGTAGCAGTTTTGACCTAGAAAATATATTTTATGAGACATTTTTCATTATGAAAAAGTTATTTTTCTCTCTTTCACTCCCCAAGTAGTTCCCCTTTCCATTTTATTCCTTTTATTCAATTTTGCTTTGATATTCTTTCAGCTTTTCAGAGACTTAACGTCTTAAGTTATCCACGGTTCAGGCAGCTGGGAAACAAGAAAATCCAGCATATTGTAACAGGTGAGTGCATCTGAAATATGAGTTATCATTAACTGACCATTGTGAATTCCAGTGTCATAAAACAAATTAGGTGAAAACCTGTCAAAATCTTGTAGAGACTTGTGAATCCTTACATGACTTCTTTGCCCCTCACAAATTAAGTGAAAATTGTAAGTGCAGCATAAAAGAATCTCTAATAAAATAGAAACCTGAGAGATGTATCTTGATTCATGTCTCCAGTACAATCAAATGCATGATGATTTTAAAAAGTTGTGGCTTTAGATTTAACTTTTTGAAATATTATGCTATCAGTTTAATGCTTAAGCTGTTTTTAAGAAAGTGATAATTTAGGATAATGCATATTTTAAACCACTTATTCATGAAATCAAGACAGGTCTTTCTTAAAACTATTAATTCTAGTTGTAGTTCACCTCTCATACATCAACTATTTATTCCTCTTGCAGTTCAGGTTAAAAAAAAAAAACATAAAACCAAGACAGAACGATTACACTACCACCTCTATGCCGCATTTGCAGCATTAAGGAGAACAACAAAAAAATACATCAGTAGTGACATGATGTCAGAAGACTATCCTTTCCTTCACCCCTTGGAAAGGTTGGAAGTGATGTTTCAGCACCAAGAATCACCCCACCAAAGTTACATTTCACTTTCTGTGATATCAGTTGAGAGGTACCAAAAAACCCAGGAAGTACTTATCTTACCCTACAACATTCTCAATGATGTCTTTCTTTAGCAATCACTTTTGCAATGCTTGACCAAGTTTAACGGACCTAATGGACCACTAATCCTAAAGTGGACCAGGAGAAAGGACAGACTGGATTTCTGACACAAATCCACAAGGTGATGATGCAAAGTCAAACCTTTAGATTTTGATTCAAACCTACTGGTTCATACTGAGGTGGTTGAGAGCTGAATTAATTTAGCCATTCAGAAGTTACACCTCTAGTTAGTCATTCAGGCTACCTCTAAATCTCATGGACAGAGCTTGGCACTTGCAGAGGGTGATTCAGCCTACTCTTAAGTATGTGTTTAAAACCACACTTTCACTATCAGTTTAATCCAGTGCAAGTCAGCATCTTCCTGTGCTCTAAAGTCCCTTGAGGTTCACAGGGAAGTCATGACAACATGATAATTCATCTTTAATCTCACTCTCTATGAGCTTTCATATGTCACAGGTCTCACGATATGAGAGTCAAAGGGTTTGGGTGAGAGACATAGGCAAATCATCAGCCCATTTTTTCCTAGAAATGTCATGCTCAATTTGTGTTAACTATCCTCCATAGTGCTTTTAAGATAAAATAATCTAGCCCAGAAACTGGGCGTGCACACCACTTTTGCTGAGCCTGATTTGTCTTTCAGGCTTTTCAGGAGCTGTGCTAACACATGCCCATTAGCTGCAAGGGGCGAAACCCCAGCAAGAACAGGGCGTCCACACACACTTCCACCTGCCTCCTGGCAGGCATTACCACGTTCTGGTGTCTGAAAACTGTTCTAAACAAAGAGGGAAAGGAAGAAAAATCCCAGAATGTGGCATACAGTTTATCACGTGATTTGCTTCTGTCTGAAAACAACTGGTACTTTACAGCCATGGCTAGAGAGCGAGGCCTTTCCTCTTCTGTGTGTGACATTTTACAGGTGATACTGCAGCAGAGGATGGCCAAGCCTGGGCCAACGGCTGCCCAGAAAGACTGGGGGCACCTGGCCATGGGCAGCATGAGGAGCAGCACCATGAACCCTCCTTCTTCCCATCGCAGAGTGGGAAAACAGTCGCCTCACACTGGACACATCAGCATGAGGCTGCAAAAGCAGGTGCATCTCCTGGACACTTGCATCTCCAGTGAAATAATTTTAAAATTACAGAATCGGTGCCAAATTCATAACCTTTAAATGAAAAGAGTTCACTAAAAGATAACTGACAACCAATGGGGATGTTAAAGATACAACTGGAGACAGAGGCTTCTCTGCTTGCATGTAAAATCAGGTTAAGCTAAATTAGAAAATGAAGAAGTGACAGGTTTGTCAACACACCTTCTTGGACCCTTGGCTTAAATTTTGGCAGTTATTTCAGTCCTTCCCAAAGAAATATTTCTAACTTGTAACTAATATTTGAGAGTCCTGAGGGGAGGATGAGAATATGAAAGTATTCAGTTAGAATACATAAGTCCATGGCATCTTTTGGGAAGGAAACACTTTGCTTTTGTGATCCTGATCGAAATGCCTCTTTTCTGTAAGCTGCCTTTTTGACTGCTATTCAGCTTCAAAAGACAGCTTCATGTTGTAGCAGTACTTCACAGACCACTTAACTGAGCTGTGAACACCCAGATCATCAAAAAATCAGACTCACACATCATGTTGGAGACATAATTTAAATTGTGCATCTTGGTCCACACTTTTCAATGCCCAATTTAATACGGATATGCACTTAACCCAGGGGAATTACAGAAAATCCTCATTCTGGTTGGAAAATCACATCTATCTTTATACAGGTACAACAAACTCAACAGCATCTTCTATGTCACTGAAATTAAACAAACAAACAAAAACCTCCTATTGCCTTCTGTTGGTATTGAATTAGGAAGTGAACAACAGAATACAATAAGATCTGCATCAAAATGCCATATAAGCCCAAAGAGCTTCTGGAGAATGAAAGTCTTAAAGTTATAAAATGATGGGTCTGAGGATTATCAAGAGTTGCTGTTCACAGCCACAGCTTCTACCTTTCCAACTTACATCACTGGCCAAGTATAAAAATTCTTCCCTCGCCTCTTAACAATTTCTCTTCATCTCAAAGATCAGGTATAGACTGTGGCTGGACTAGATGGACCATTGGTCTGCTCTGGTCTGATGAATTCCATGCAATAATGCTAATTAACCTCTTGGAGAATATCCATACATAAAATTGGTTCATAATTTATACATAGCAAGCATCTAGGCTGTTGCGTTGAATTTAGAATTGAGCTCAAAACAGAGGCTGTTTGAAGCTGGGTTGAAAAAACAACATCCTCCTCCTCAAAAAAGAAAAAAAAGAACCTACACAACCCAGAAAACATAAAAGTGCCCCACCTCCCCAACAGTGCAACTTCAGGATTTGGGAAAGGAGGTGGAAAAAATATTCATTTTGGAGAGAAAAACAAAGCAAAACCTAATCTCTCATCTCATCCACACTTAAGCACAACCTCTCACCCCACCCACACTTATAGCCACATTTTATGTTTAGGAAAGAAACCATAGATCAGATAATTTTTTTTTTTTTTGTCAGTAGCTATATTTTGCAAACACTAACTGAACAGGGGCATTATTTTTTCAAATGTACCACACTGAGAATCATAAACTTATTTAGCCATCTTCCTATCATCAACCAATTTAGTCATTTAGAAATACTTCGGAAAAAAAACCCAAACCATCCACCCCCTCCTGGCCTGCCCAGATATGTATCTTCTCATCAAATAAGACTGATTACAGTAGCAAGAAGTTCTGGATTAATTCAATTTTCCTAAACAAAGGACAGGTTGTTATAGAAGAAATAACCAATCTGAAGAGGTTTTCACAAACATGGAAGCTCATTTCTTCCCCATCAAAACTGAAACAAAAAAAATCTTTTGTAACACATTCTCATAAGCACTGTTTTAGCTTGGGAACAAAAATCTTCTTTAATCCTGGTTTAGCTTTTAATATTACATCGTACATTAAAATTCATAAAGTAGTTCATTCCAGGCAAAACAAACTACTTTTCAGTTCTGCTCTGCAAATAGCACAGGAGGTACAATAAATGCTGTTGCTTTCAGAACAGCTTTTATCAGGACAAGGTTTACTACTCCATTATTACAGTGGCGCCTGGAAGTGCAGTTATAGTTAAGTGTCAGGGTTTCCATTAACTCTCCTTCATGGTGGTTTTCACAGGGAGGGATGAGAGGGTTGCATTTATTATTTTGTTCATTTTTACTTTCATTAAAATGCAACTTGGCACAAAGACCGTCAACCTAAATCTCAAACTTTCCAGACTTAAAAAATAAAAATTTTGCTGGTGGCATGTGCATGTGTTTGAACTCCAGGGCTCCACCGTTACATTTCACAGAAGCTGGTGTTACCCCTGCAGTGAAGGTTCACTGGACCTCAAACACCAACCAAGCAGTGTCCTCCTAAAGACCAGCCTTTCAAGAGTGACATCATATCTATGGGACCCAACCTGAAATTGCTTTAGGATGAAGGAGCTGTAATTACATTTATGAACAAGAAGTTTTTTGTCAACTGAGTACCCAGAACCATTATTCACATAAGACTTGTGGATACTTCTTAAAACGTTGCCTTGTTAAAATTATATTCTGCTCTCAACATTACACGTACTCTGCTTTTACACAGGATGATGATGGGCACCAGGAGTTAGCAAATTTTCTTTGTGGAATATGGGCAGTGAGAGTTGGGAAATATGCGCAGTCTGAGGAATATGGTCTTCCTCAGCTCTGCTGAAATGGAAGTCACTCTGAGAAGGAAGTGTTCATACTGCAGGATGGCTAACAAGCTTTAATCAGAATGTTCTGGAAAAGAATACCTGTGACTTGTCCTCTTCCCCCTCATCCCCCAAACTGCCCCGATGAGGGAGAGGACATTGCTAGCATCTCCCTGGGGAACTCCGTTCACCCTGAACACAGCTCCACACTCAGTATCCCCTAAAGTATCCCCACATCCACTTGTTCCCACACAATGTGCAGTAGACTTGTCCTCTGAGCTTGAGTTAGGGATACCCAGAAAGGACCTCTGTGGAGTGATCTGCAAGATGAAGGTGTTGAAGAGGTGGGG